TGTCTTAACACTTCGAGTTTAGGCATGAGTAGATGTAACTTTTTTTAATCATACTTGTGTCAGCAACATATTCATGTATTTTTTTTAAGTAGCGAGTTTGTATTATTAAAATGTTTAGTCAGTTTACGCATGTCCATCTTACTTCTTCCAATTTCTTACGCTTAGCGCAAAATGACCAGCCGATTTTGATTATAATTTAAATGCATTCGCCAATACGGGTCGCAAAGTATGCCATTCACACACGCAACACATGTCTCGGACGGTGATATCTCGCATACTGGATACCTCGAGGGACACGAATTAATTAATCGCCGAATAGGCGTTAACGCAAACCGTAATAATGGCGATCGCCCGATGACGATTAAGGCCGATCCAGTCGGCGGCAAAGATATGTAGAGAAAGTCCGGTCGGCCCCGTGTCGTGTACGCCTGTGTCCGGTCAATGCACCACATAATTCCTTCTACTTTTTTTATCTTGCGCTACGACCGCTACGAGTGTCAGAATACAATTTTATTCAGATGCTATCTGCGTGTATCACTATCGTGTTTCATGCAATCGCGTTTAGACGATTATTCAGGAGCAGATCAAAACCCGGAAAGTCTCGTTTCACGACATTAAATTGAAAAAAATATACTAAATATTTATTTGAGTAGTTCCAAGTAAATATTTATGAAATGTAAATATTTACTTGGAACTACTCAAATAAATATTTAGTATTACATTTATATTTACATGATACAAAAATCATTAATTTGATTTAACTATCATTTTTTTTCCTTAATAAATATTTATTCATAAAAAATAATGTTGTAGTTAAAAATAAAAGTGTTAAAAATAAAATATCAATAATTTTTGTATCACATTAATATATTAGGTCGGGGAAAAAGTTTCTTCGTATTTAAAAAAAATTTGTTGCAAAAGTTTTTCATTTATTGCAAAATTTTCGTTACAATTATATTATTCGTTGGAGCAAAATTTTAGCTTTAAGAATCTGTTTTTTAAATTGCGGTGTGATGATTTTTATCGGAGTTACGAGCAATCAAAGTTAGAATGCTCCTTTACTTAATTCGCGAATAACTCAGTAACAAAAAATCATAGGAACATTTTTAAAAAATGATTTTGTAGGAAAAGCTTTGAGCTTTTACGATAGGTAATCGAAAATTTTTGTAAATTTTTTTGGACACGTGAGAGACCTTCAAAGTGAAAAGAAAAATTTTCATCTTTTTCGCAGTTTTTTTGATGCAAAAATTATCAAACTCACAGAAACTGAAAAAATATAGTAATCTTTCGAAAGTAGAGATTTCAAGCTTTAAAATTCTCTTTTTAAATTGAAATTTCATTTATTTTTGACGAAGATATTGTATATACAATTTTGAATTAAAAAATACGAAGAAACTTTTTTCGCAATATGTTTACATTTAGTAAATATTTAAATCTTACCTATTCAAATAAATATTTATTTACTGAAAATAAATGTTTATTTAATATTATTCAAAGAAATAAGATTTAATAAATTTTTTATCACTGAATGGAATAAAAACGGAATAAAACGGAAGGAAGATACATAATAAAAGGAACGTATCGTCTTTCATTGATATGGAAGAATCGCGTTTTCAAAAGTCGTACTTTCTCATCAATATAATTTTTTAAATGAACTTGAAGCCGGTTTTCAGCAGAATTTATATTTATATGAGCGTGTGATTTTCTCAAGTTTCAAGATTGAATAACCGGATGCTAATTTTTTGAGATCCATTTCTCCTATAAGAAACTGCAAACAAAGTTATAAATAAAGTTTCAAGATTTTCTGAGAAACAAATAATAAAATATTATTTATTTTTTAAACAAATTCAAGCAGCAAAAATATTACTTTCATTTTTCTATACATTACATTTCTTTTAATCACGAAAAAAATGATAATTAAAGATTAATCATCATTTTTTTCGTCATTCGTCAATAACAATTTAAGTCTAAATTAAAGAATTATTATTATTATAGCAGTAATAATCATAATTATTGTAATATATAATTATATTAGGTGTTGGAATTAATTCGTAGCGTTTTTAATGAAAGAATGTTATTTATTTCACATGAGCATTAAAAAATACATTAATGAAAGTACTTCCCATCACTTGTAAAACGCTACGAATTAATTCCAACACCTAATAGTTACTAAACATTTTTCTCTCAGTGTACTACGAAAACATGTATTAAAAATTTTGCATTTACATTACATCATTTACTATAGGACCATAAAACAAATTCTTTGTTGCTCGAAAGCTTGATGAATACAACAGAAATGAGAAAGACCCTTCTTTATATTTTAAAAGATTCTGTTTCAGATATATAAGCCCATTTATCTAGTAAAAAAAACTCTTAGTTAAAGAATTAACTGATCATTAAATTTTGATTTGCATCGCTTTGAAGAGAAATCTCCTGACCAAAAGAAAAACTCTCCGACAGGGCGATTTAAAAGAGCATAAGCACTTTTCAATATTTTTTAAAGCTTGATTTCTTAGGAATGTTTAAAGTTATAAACAAAGTTATAAATCGACCGAAAAATGGAAAAGTTACACAAAATAATAGTCAAACGCATCGAGCGAGTCAAATTTATTAGACAAATAGGCTAATATATCTGAACAGGATCTTTTAAAGTATAAAGAAGGGTCTTTCTTGTTTCTATTGTATTCATCAAGCTTTCAAGCAACAAAGAATTTGTTTTATGGCCCTGTAATAGATGATTCAAGTGTAAAACTTTGAATGCATGTTTTCGTAGCACACTGAGAGAAAAATATTTGGTAACTATAATTATATATTACAATAATTGTTACTGCTATAATAATAATAATGGTAATCATAGTTGACAACCTAAAATGACTATAATTATATTAATTATAGTTATTATAACTATAAAAATGGTTGAAATTACCATAAAAATGATTCAAATTACTATAATTTTACTATGATTTTTACTGTAATTCAAATTATTATAATTTTAAATACTAATTATAAGTAAGAATATATTTTTATATACTATATTTTATTTTTTTTATATTAGTATATTTTTTTCGCAATCAAAAAGCGAACAAAATTTTTAAAACAAAATAAAAAATCAATATTTGATTAGCTGGCATTTTGCTCAAATGCAATATTTCGAAAAGTGGCTACGTCAAATATCAGATTTATGTTTTAATTTTATAAAGCTTGTATCACTTTGCTTTCAGATAAATTTTGTGGTCACCGCACACCATGTTTTTTAAAACGAGCTTCACAAGAACATTAATAACGTCGCTATTTTTAATTACTTTTTAACAAAATTTAAGTGATAAAGGGAGAAAAATGCATTTTTACAATAAAATAAACTTCTTCATTTCTTTTCGTTTTTCTACAAAAAATTCACAAAATTAAGCTTTATTTTGATGGCGCGTCTAGATACCTATGGCCCCTTAATAAAACGACGAGAAGGGTGAGATTCACGACCGATGAATATCAATACAGAATTAGTTATGACCTTGCTGCTTGCTGATGTATCGCTCGTAAGAGGTATCGCGCACTTCCGGTTGGTTATTCATGTGCCAAGGCTGCACGATCGAGAATATAGCGCGCACGTATATACGCGACGTGTATCTATCGTTCTTAATTGCCGTTTATCTAGACGCGTAATTACCGATGATATAAATTAAGTACCGGCCCAATTTTTTCATCGCCCGGAACAACTCGATTGAAATGAAAGCGAAATGAAAGTTGAAATGAAGGCGAATCTATCGAGTCGATTATTGATAAAATATCGATGTTATTTTTCCAAATAATACGGCTTCCGATCTAATCACAAACAAATAAACTTTAAGATAAATTCTATGATCCGACTCTCAATATAACTACCTGAATAATAAATCTGAGAAAATATATAGCTTAGTTAATCGTGCGATGATATTGGAATTAATGAGAGGATGGTTTATTCATAAACGTATTATTTATCATAAATGATAATGGATTCAATTTAACATAACTGCTTTCACATTTTTGTGATATTTTTGTGCATTTATAGTTCAATTAATTATGCGTAATGTATTTGCCTTTGGCAATAATATAACATGCGTAAAAATTAATTACTTCGAGCATTTATTCCATCAAATTATTGACTAATTCATATAATGTTAAAACGACATATTAGTAAATCAAATGACTTCAATATCTAGAGCTAATATTAATTTACCTGCAATATTTTTTATCAATCCAGTCATATGAGAAATTTTTTCTTTTTATTTTTGTAAATTATCTACAAATCGGAGCAAAACAATATAAGATACATTAGTTATCCTTCAATCGTTCATAAATGGAAAGAGCGATTTTACTAAAAATATCTAAAAATTTAGCTAAGTGTATTCCAAAAATTTACATTATAATATTCTCAAAATTAATTTTTAAATTAAAATTAATATTTTATTAATGACAACAATATGAGTGGAACAACAATAAAGTAAAAAATTAAGCTTTATTTCATACACGAAGAAGTTTACACGGTTTAGTTATCTAAAAACTTTTAATTTTTAAATGCAAATTTAAAAATTTAGTTGGACCTTCAACATAATTATACAGGAAATTCAAGCCTGATGAGCAATGCCGCAAAAAATTTGGCATTCTAGTAACCAGCGAACTGAGCGTCATTACTTTCGTAATTACTTTAATAGCTCAATAAATTTATGTTCAGATCTATATTTAGCTAAATTTGCAGAATTTTTTGCTACGGCAAAAACTATTTTTTCTATATGAAACAGAGTTTAATCATTTTATTGTTATTCTACTAATCCAACAATAATAAAACATTAATGTCAATTTTAATTTTTACAAAATATGATTTTGAAAATATCACAAATGTAAACTTTCAGAATATACCGTAAAACAATATACAATAAAACAATAACACATTCCCTCTTTTTCTTATTTATAAGGTTCTAATCTCTAGTGATCATTTAACAAATTCTGTTTCGATTTTCGCTCACCCTTGGCCCATCCGGTCAGCACATTTCCAAGATACGCGACTTTGTAGGAAGGATCGTATTCAGTAATCGACGCGTTGCCTCTGTGCCTTCTCCAGAGCCGACCCAGTCCTCTCTTCAAGGATCTCAGAGTCCTCTGACCGAATTCCTTGCTCGCACTGGAGGGCTGCACCGTGCCATCATCGTTCTCGTCGATGGGATCCGCGACGACATCGCCCATCATCTTCATTCTCGCGTTTGTGTCTTTGCGAATAATTCCTTGAACTTCCGCACTGATTTCTAGTTCACGTAAGAAAATCCACACCTTTCGGTCGAAGTCACCGCGCTACATTGTGCCGCCACTTCGTCGTGCTTCGTGTTTTATTCGAGAGAACGAGATATGCGATGACGATTGATGATATTGACTTCTTTCCCTTCCTGTCGAATAAAAGAAAACGGTCTTGCGATCGCGGTTGGTGTCGGATCGAGAAGGATTGCGAGATTCGTATAAATCGTCGGCGTTAAGCTATTTAAGCGACTGTCGATCGATCGTCAGAAACTGTCGTTCGCCGCTTCCAAGGCTGTACCTCTCCTCGATCGTTATTTGCGCGCGCTTGGAAAGATCGCGGTTTCGTTCTCTCGTACGACCCCGCGTGTCATTTCCTTTCCTTCCGCGTTCCTCCTGCCCGCCGGCGAAGTTCACGATACGTTTCTGAAACAAAACGAAAAATCGTTGACGCAAAGGTCAATTTCCAAGGGGCCGACCGGTTATCGGCTCAACGAAATAAAAACGGTGTGACTTACATACGTTGGTAAAATACATTTTTTTTTCTCGATATAACGGATCCTCGATCGAAGATGCGCGAAATAAATTGCGGAAACGCTTGGATCGATCGAAATTCATTGACTCGGCATCCTTTGAACGTGATAAATTTTTTTTAACTGAACTGTCAAAACTCAATTTTCGAGAAAGTTTTTGATTGAGGTTGCGCCCAAATAGATATTAACTAAGAAACTTTCTCTCGTGCGTTTTCTCTTGATATTCGATCGGAAAAAAGACGAAAACGACAGGAAAATAAATATCAGAGTGTATATAAATAAAATATTCGGGTGAAGGAGTAATTAAAGTAATAAAAACTTGTTTTTACATGTAGATTGTCTGCAGGAATTAGAAATTGGTCACAATCAATTGGTTACGATTGAATTTTCAATTTTCTTTTATCGTTTCTAGAATCTTAAGAAAGTTACATTCAAAGTAGAAAGTACTACTTATAAAAATACACATGTGGGAGAAAGTAATGGAACTGATAACGAGTGCACTGTTCCAAATACGTACAAAAATAATCATGATTTAGTCGCATAAAGGCTTTTATCGTCTCCATAAAAAATATAAGATAATATTAAATGTGCTCGATATTTCCCCGCCCCTCGCAAAATTCTGAAAAGAACGTATAATTATTAGATAATTATCAATAATAAGACGTTGCTGTGATCGATATTAAATCAGTTTTTTTCCCTTTCATCACGCAACATTCAAGCGCATAATCGATATTAACAAGAACGAGATTGCCTTTCTTGTGGAAACTGCATCAACGTTGAAAAATTAATTTTAGCGAAACGTAACGTGCTTGTATGTAGAACATGCATTGATAAGAATTTAAACGAGGACGAGAGGCAAACTTAAAACGGTTTGGTGGATTTTTAGTACAAGGCTGTTGTGCCTTGTGCTTGTTTTAAGATCGTAATATACGAGAGTATGAATACGCGTGCCAATCTCACCGGAAATTACGGTTTTCACCGGAAATCTTGCGGTTTACCGCGAGATTTCTCGATCTTCGCTAAAATACCTGTTTAATGAATCTGTTGTAATAAATTCCATATTTTATCATGACGATTAACATTAATAATTAATGAATTAACATGCTCTCTAAAAATAAATTAGTATATTATACTGATTTCGGTGCTACACTTATAAATGATGTATCAGCGAATGTTTACTGTTTTTCAGTAATAGTACTAATTTACTTTCACATGATTTTCTATAGAGTTACTTGTAGAAAATCCTAATCTTTAAAAGTGAATCAGTATATTATTATACTAAAAAGTATTCGCTAATGATTACATTAGTTGTAAGTGTGGCGCTGAAGTCACTAATTCACTTTTAGAGAGTATATTCAATTAAGTAATAAGTAATAATTATATAGAAAAGTATTCCACTGGATTCTTAAGTATTTCTTAATTATTGATCATTAGAATGAATATTAAAAAATCAATAAAATTAAAAATTTCAGTTTTCTGTGAAGAATTATTTTGCGCACTGCTGGAGCTTAGCGTCTCAATATTGCGAAAGGGACTCGGGAAAAATATTTCTGGATTCGAATTAATATTTTTCGTTTCTTCTCATGCGTTTCTCTAGTCCTAAAACTGTCTATCATCATTTGCTAAATATCCCGTATTACGCGGCGCTGCAATGCTGTTTACGAATATTTTTCATAATGAAATATGTGCGACCAGCGTGGATAATCGTCTAGTATAATCGTTATAGTTATAATGCAGCGACAGGTGAACTCTTGTTGTTTAGACGTGGGACTTGCTGCATTTCTTGCAAAATAACGTGGAAGATAAAAAATTACGACAACGCTTTCGTAACTCGTCGACTGCGTAGGAAGCTCTCTCTTAATTATACACAAAATAAATGTTTGCAGATATAAAAATAAATGATGTTAGAAGAATATAAAAATAAAAATATTAAAAGAATTTTTTCAAAAAATTATTAGTAGACGAATTCTTTGCAAAATTATTCCCTCAAATTTATTATGTAATAACATTATGTAATCTTGAGATACATCCTATATCCATCAATTAATTACGTAATCACATACGGAGTAAATAAGTAATTATCGCATTTGTGTTGTCTGTTTAGCCATTTAGTGATGTTATCACTAACTTCGAATCTAAGCGAGAAAATTAATGACCTGTGTGCGTGAAGCACACAATGCACCATACGATTTTTTCCCATGCAGAACTTTGCAATGAAAAAAATATGAATTTTTAAATACGCTCTCAAGAAACATTTTGAAGTTTCAATGTTAAGTTTAAAAAATAAATGTTTTATAAGATTATTTTTATAAAAATTCGTCCGATATATGCAAATTTTACAAATCACTTTTTTCGTATTAAAATACGCAAAATTATCACGTGCGTCAGTTATTTAATAAAAAAAAATCTCCATTTAAAAACATACAATTTTAGCACTTAAAAAAACGAAATATTTATATACATATAATTACTGCAATAAAAATATCTTGATACTTTTTAATAATATAATTACAAATTTTATATCATAATATGTCATTTATCATTATTAAGATCGAAGATGCGAATAAGCATAACAAAATTTATTAATTTGCTAGTCAATTTAACTCGTGATATTACTGCGGTAATTTAATAGAGTTAGTGTTTCAAGACTGAAAAATCATTTCGGCGCGCATTTCTAGAGACTATATATGTAGTATATAAATTCACATAAGAATCATACAAGCATTAAGATCTAGATCGTTTAAGGCTTTCATTTCTATTTGTATTATCACATATATATGGTCCTATAATATATTATATTGATATTTTTTACTTAACGATTGCGTAAGTTTGATTAAAGATGTAAATTAGCAAATATATATAGCATGACTAAGAAAGAAAAAAAGGAAAAAAATTACGTGCTTTTGTAACACGATTTCATAATTTTAGATTTAAAATATATAAGACTTCTTTTAAGTTAAGTATATAACTTTATTACACTAAAAAAATGATGTTATACAACAGCATTATTTTAATTAAAAATAATCTTGTTAATTCACAATAATAGTATTAATGAAACAAATAAAATTTTATTAAATAAAACAAGAGCATAATGTTTTGTTTCATTAGTAGTGTTATTAAATTAACAGAATAATTTTCAATTAAAATAATGTTGATATAGCATCCTTTTTTTCGATGTATCTTTTAAAATCTGGCTTAAAAATGTAATCCACAATAGTAGAAATAAAAATAGATGTTTCGATCATTCCGTTTTTATGTATAGTGGGTTATAAAAATTTGCAATTTCGATATAACTCTGCAGATAAACATTATACATTCGCGTGTAACACAATTCTTCGAGGTCTCTGAGACTAAGTCTATATTTAAAATAGCCGGCGGATTTGCATTTGCGTAAGAAGCGAATAGACTCGATGACTGCCCTGACGGAGAACAAGTGTGATATATTGGAAATAAATCATCAGGGATTTATTGACCGTTTGTCGTTGTCGTCGCGTAACTGAAAGCGCTTATGCACTCGACGCAAAGCAGACGGTGCATAAAACTGTCCGTCAAATTCATATTGCATGGACTCATCATCGTCGCCGTGCAGATCAAGTTGCGTTACGTCAAGACTGACATTGGTCGCCATACCTGCGGTTTGTCTCGCCCGGTGTGTTTTGCGTGAATCGCGTACGTGCATCTTGGCGTGCGATTCTGTAATTTTACCGGGTAAAAAAGAACTGTAATACACCGATAATTGTGACCGATCTTGATTCCTCGCGCGATCCCCGGTATGATCCGCGAACGAAGACGTTTAACCCGCGCGGATATTTAACCTCGATGTGTCGTGCATTAATTAGAATCACGCAAACACTTGAGGTCGTTCGGTCAAGGCAGGCTGCAATACGATGTCAAGATGGTGTTACAATGAAATATTACGATCTTATAAAAGTCGAACTCAAATTCAAAATTTAATTTACGCAAAAAGATAAACGATAATATATTTGTGCATGATATTTTGTAATAATGATAAAAATACAAATGTTTAAATTGTGTAAATTAAAGAAAAAATACAATATATAAGTTACATCACTCTAATTCTGCAGATTGAAACCAAACTACTAATTCTTTAAATTAATTAAATTTTGTAAAATTAAAAAAATATATAATGATATAAAGAGATATTTGTATTACAGTTAGTTTAGAAGATTAGTTAGAAGTCAGTTTCGCGTGATATATTAAAATATTTAATAAAGATAATCTGGACTGTTATATACAATCGTGACAATTTGATTTAATTACTTTTAATTATCACAATTCATACATGATTATTAAATTCATTGTCATTTATATAGAGACGTTATAAAAATCTAAATATTAATGATACATATTAATGACTTTAATGAGATTTCGTACACGTGTAACTATTATTAAATAATCCTTTTTAATAAATAGCTACAGATTGATAAGAAAAAAATGAACTAATGGAATATTCCACTGACACGCGAAATCAATCATGAAATCGCTCGTATTTATGCAAATTCGTCTACATGTAATTTTTTAATAAATCTGTCTAATTATGTCTATATAATAATATCTATGTAATATTTGCTAACATCACAGTTGAATAATCAGTTATTTATCGAACCACTGTTTTTGTCAAATTTACTTATTATAATAAAACTTCTTTAATAACTTCTTTAGTAAAAAAGAAAAATAAAATAAATTATATTGTTTTCAAATCAATTTATATATTTAATACATAGATATTTAATACATAGATATATTCATTATTCCTCATTTTTAACAAGAATGAAGTAACAGAATTGCTACTAAAATAATTTAAAAAAAATTGTCAGTAATCGATTAAAAATTGACAGTAATTAATTAAAAAGCTAAACTGTGTCGTTCAGG